TTGCAAAACTGTAAATGCAGTATACTCTACCCTCTGGCACTAACAACTTCGGCTTCTCCCGTGGCACCAAATGTAAGACGTCCATCAAGGCCACGTACACGAACAAGTCTCGACTTTTTATACATTAAAGCAGCCAGTTCAGCCTATAAATAATGTAAAGGTACAAACAAAATTAAATAAGGGAGATGATTTATAGATGCGCAGATACTGGGCTTTTTTACCTTGTTAAATAATGAAAAGGTTAATTGTTAGTGTTGTCCTGGAACATGGAAATAATTTTTCAGAACTTCTCTGTAAAACTCAATTTAAAATTTCATTCAATCTGAAATTTTGAGCACCATAGTACAAATGTTGCTTCTTAAATAGGATGAAACTAGAATCCAAGTAAAGTAAATGTGTTCAACCCAACTGGGATGAAGTTGTTAATGGAGGTTGGCAGAATGATCGAGGAAAAGAATGATGTTTCTTACCCACGCTGTTCAACAGAAGGTGAAGTTTGGACCCAATTAATGGACAAGGACCAACAATATCGACCAACCATGCCTAACTTGCAAAAATAGGTAAGTAGCACAAATGGTGGGTATTACTGACTTTATGGGGTTGATGGGCTATGACCCATTTGGTAGAGAAAGAAAAAGGCAATAATTCATATTACCTGAACCAGCAATGGTTGTTACAGGGGTAGGTGCTGAAGATGATGAAGATGCACTAAATGATTTCTGGTACTGTTTAAATTTAGATAAGTCATCTAACAAATTAATAAATGACTTCTTAGATAAATCATTGATGGGCTGAGCCCTCGATTGAACAAAATCAGATATCACCACCGATTTCTGTCTGGCAATATTCCAAAAATAATGCAGAAACACAGTCTAATCCAAATCAACAAAATCAAAACCCATTGACCCCACATAATTTTTTTTTTTTTTTTGGTACAGCTTCAAATTGGAACCAACTGTAAATTTTTCTTGTAGTTACAATTGGTTGCAACTAAATAAAACTTAATGGACCAAGTTGAAACAATGATAAAATACAAATTGAACCCAATCCTTTTATTGTAAGTACAGATTAGCAAGAAAAAGGCAATGATACATTTAATTGAGCCCATGAAAAAAACCTGTAACTTTGCCTCTTTCGTGTAGGCATGAGCATTGAATATCTCTATTATGAGACCCACGCGGTCCAGTACAGGTTTATCCCATGCTCGCTGACATAGAATAGTGGAGCATATCATCAAGAACAAAGAATATTGCAAAAACATTTATATTAATGTAAAGATATACACAACCTACACTTTTTCCACAAGACCATGAGTGTATTTGTTCATGGTCGAACTAACAAGGGGAAGAAATGAATATACACAAGATATACCTCCAAATTCCTCTGCTGAATGCCAGAGAGAGTAGCATTTACAAAAATAGCATCAACCTCACTCTGACAAAATTTTAAACTGATAAGGTTTAGTTTAGTGATCATATTACACATCTAGTAACGTACAAACAAAACCAAATTACCACTACCTTCGACTCTGCCACATTCAAATGGCATTTGATGGCATCCACAGTTCCTGGTCCAAAATATGTATCTAAAAACATAAAACACAATGAGAAAAAATGACATAATGCAACGCTCAACCATCTAGATCATAGACAAGTCAATTTACTCATTATCTAAAATTAAGAAAGTCCATTTGTCTTCAAACATTCAATATCAAGGATGAATTAGAACTACTAAAAAAAAAAAAAAATCATTATCAGACATTTTTTCAAAACAATATTTTGCTTTCTAAGAAACAGATGTCATACCTCCCCGACATCTCCCCCCAGAGGGATAAAAGAGTGGGGAATTACACAAAATCTTCCAACCAGAGAGTTCAAGAATGAAGGATCACTTCAAAAATGATTGGTTATTATTGCCCACAGGAAAATGATAGGAACGCTATCAGGGTATTATTGGGATATCAAGGGTATATTCGTCATTTTTTAGGGAGGTTGCCATGGTATTTGGTTATAAGTAGAGGGAGAGGAAAATGACAAAGTTAGACAATTTTTTAGTGGCTAAGGGATTGAGTGATATCTCAAGAGGGGAGGTTCCAAATACCTTGAATACTCGGGAAGTTACATTGTAGTTTTGTTATCGTTTGTATTTCAAGACATTGGAATATTTCTGATTGGTATCAGAGCTGTACAGTTCTGGCCAAGGTGAATTTATGCAAAGAGATATAGAAGTGTTTATGCGAAGGAATGGATTGACTTAAGAATCAAGTGAAGAAGTAAACGGACTTGATCTTTCAATCTATATGGCTACTGTGTAATTTCAGATAAATAAAAGGGGAGATTGCAGCAACAAAAAAAAATAGGAGATTAGACTGGCAAAAACAAAGAGTCAGAAATTCATATTAGAATAAGGTAGTCTTATATGGAAAGAAATAGAGGATACTAGGAAGGTCGTTGATCAGTGGAGTGAGAATGGCCACAAAGAAAGAAGAATCGTCATATCAGAGACGACGGCAGACAGCGTGAAGAGTCGTCCTAGGTTGAGTTTGTTCACAAAGAGTGTAGAAAAGAAACAGAAAAATGGGAAGGCCGACAAAAAAATACTAGCACAGAAGAATTGGTGGCCATTGAAAGGAGATTAATTTTCCCGGAATTCAGACTGTGCGACTAAAGACTAGATTTTTGGCACAAGGTTCTTACAAAAGTTGCCATGGCAGTAGCATCTGTTCAACAAAAGGTGAAAAAGAAACAGCACAGCTACTAAGGACAACAGATGAGAGGATGCGAGTAAGGGGCCCCCATGGGAGACGTAAGCATATTTTCAACCCTTCAATCTATGCACCCCTTGTTAAATCAGGGGACTGCAGAAAGAAAGAGATTTCAGTTTACCGACAAGCAACAGATCAAGGCAAGAATTATGGTTTCCTTCCCGAAAATATAGATAGGAAGCAAGACGTCATCCGCAAATAGAATCCAACCTTATGCAAATAGGAGACCTATTAAAGAAAAAGCCTCTAATTGATTGTTGTCTCTCACCACTACCCTAAAGTCCCTTCCATTGTCTTCAAGCCATGCTTCCCATATGAAAAGAAAGGGCAGACTTGGAAAGGGGATTGAAGGAAGAGCACATTAGTGAAAGAGTTGGATGTCCTATCGTCCATTCTCATTTGTCAACACAGCTACCAAGGACAACAGATGAGAGGATGCGTGTAAGAGGCCCCCATGGGAGACGTAAGCATATTTTCAACCCTTCAATATATACACCCCTTGTTAAATCAAGGGACTGCAGAAAGAAAGAGATTTCAGTTTACCAACAAGCAACAGATCAAGGCAAGAATTATGGTTTCCTTCCCGAAAATATCGATAAGAAGCAAGATGTCGTCCGCAAATAGAATGTGCCTTATGCAAATAGGAGACCTGTTAAAGAAGCCTCTAATTGTGCCTTGACAGGAACCATGAGAAAGAAGGCAACTTGGGCAGTCGGCAACAATAACTACGAAAAGTAGCAGTTCAGAAAAATAAAATTAACGTCTTCGCATGCTTCCCAGCATAACATAAATCTTTGGAATCGAAGATATGGTAAGACTTTATGATCTTATTATGAGTCATGCATTCAGTCACCGTGTCTTTTTAAATCAATTTACTATAGCCAGGATGAATCCTTTAAATAATAAGTCAGAATTGAGGCGTTAACAGGACCATAGTTCAAGTGGCATAACTCAAAAACCGTCCACTAATAAGCCGAATTCAGGGGGAGGGTGGAATCCAAATTGAGGCAATGAATACTAAAATAAATAAGAAAACATATCCAAAGGACCCAAATTTCAATTTCTAAAATATTTCAATAGGCAGTTAACTCAAACACCGGTCGGTTTGAGGTGAGTGAGAGAGCTCTTAAGTGTCCCCAACTGAAAAATGTCTAAGCACAAAATAAAAGAAAGGGGCTATAGAATTCACATTTCTTGGACTTACCAGCGCGAGCTCCTCTGGCAGAAGGATTTTGAACTACAACGTGAAGGGGTATTTCCTTGTCAAAGAAATCAATATCGAAATACCCATCCCGTTGTTGTTCTAGAGAATTTGCAAGACACAAAGCCTCGTTTAGCTTTGCTTGCAGAATAGTATCGGGACGAAGACGAGGTTGAACCACGAAGAGTTTGGGTGGAGCTATTGGGTCTCTGCTGCAAACGGAAACAACGTCGTTGCTATTTTCCTTCCTGTGCTTGGATGAGTGCGAGAATGTCGAAAAGAGTATCCGAACCGAAGGTGGCAACAGCTTGGAAGGAGAATTAGATGGTAATAGGTAGGTTGTTAAGGCGGAAGATAGAGAGGTTATGTACCGGGCGAGAAACTTGATGCGAGGTTGCGATACAGAGATAATTCTCAACATTTGGAAGAATCGGTGGAATAATCAATCTCCTTTCACCACTATCAACCCTCGGCGTCGGTGAGTTGGCCGGTGTTGCCCTTCTGCACTCCAGAAGTTTTATGGTTTATTAAAAATATAAAAATAAAGTAATTTTTGGACCCTTTCACTTCCGAAGACTTCGAACAACAAATTACAATTTTACCCTTTATTATCCATAGTTGAGGGTGGGTCCAAACTTCATATACGAAGTTAGAGAAGTGTTTTATAAACATAATTAGATATCTCCAATCCAAGAACGTTATTCATGGTTTTGTTTCACTACGATTTGAGTTTTTCAAGTTTTGTACCCATATATGAACTTCAAGAAACCTTGTTGAACAATAGCAGAGGTTTCAACTCCACGCTCTTGCTTTTCAAAGGGCTGATTTTTCAGTCATCTTTATCCTTCTTTACTTTGTATGTTTGAATCGTCTTTAGAGGTTTGAAATGGTGATGAGGAGTTAATTACATTTACTAGTGTGTATGCCTTCATCTGCATTATCAATTCTGCACTTTGACATCAACATGTTATAACTGCTATCACTGCATGCAAATATTAGGTAGGCAGAAGAATTGTTCCTTTTGGAGTGCAGAAGAATGCAATGTGAAACAAAATTCATAATAGTCAAAACAAACAAGTGTTGGACCGTATCATAACTTTACATAATACAGGGCAGGAATTGAGCAGCGGAGAAGAACTTGTTCCACACATCTCCAATATTAGCAAAAAAATTACAAATGACAAGCACAATAACCAAACCGACTACGGTAGCTCCATTATTTTATCAAGCATTGCCCCTGCAAATCAAATGCAGGAGAAAAATCAAGAAATAAAGTTGAGTAAGGGAGGCTGGAAATGTCTTGTGAGAGTACCTCAAAAATCCTTTCCGCACCTTCTAAGGATGACCTCATTTTGTTCACTAAACTTGTTCTCCACATTTACAAAGACACATAATACACCTGCCAAGAAAGGTGAGAAGCATCAGTGATTCCATTCAAACAAATTGCAGAACAAGGAACATTAACTGAGTAGCATAACTAAACTCTCACAATTAGGAAAATGACCAGACCTCTGCTGCAAAATAGTAAAAAGAAAATGACTTAAGGACAAGCTCATATGAAAAGAAGAAAGCTAATAATAAATATTAGAAACCTGAACACAGCCAAAAGCAGGTCTAGCAAGACAGATTTCAAAACAATATGAATACAAATCGGAGGCTTCAATAGTCTGTCTATGTTAGAAGGTGGTGAAGGAAATACAAAATAGAAATGTAAGTTTGATGATGATCCGGATCCATCTTATCTGTTATAGTATAGTCAATCTAGTGTCAGCTACATATTGCATAAGACAAGATTAGAAATATAAGCGTTCCTACAAACAGGTGGGGCAAACAAGGTCCACCACTTCAAGCACCCGCAGGTCAAGTCCATTATATGATTATCAGTCCATACGCAAAACAAAAGGAAAATTATTCAAAAGAACAGAGCACAGAGACAAGCCCCAGTTTTGCTTCTTTTTCATAAACAAATCTAGCTCATCATATCCATGCCATCTCCAACTTGACTACAAATTGGGACGGCAGCAGAGAAAGATCTCTCAAAAGGTGAAGGATGAAACTGGGCATCCCGCCTACGCTTAAAACCAAAATCATCAACGGAGGAATTGTCAGCATCAAGTTTCCTGCGAATGCCTCTGATTGCTTGTTCCTCTGTCAGTGTAAGCGGGAAAATTTGCCCACTTGCACGACAAAGTGAGCTATGGTTATCATACACAATTCTTTGGTCACAGTTTTTGTCACAAATGTGAGTCATTCCTGTAAGTTTGCAGCGGTACATATTACCACACACATGTTCATTCTCACATTTCCAATCACATTTGTGGGCAACAACTTGCTCATCTCTACCCAGAATAGTTGAAAGATAAATAACGTTTGCAGAGACCATGGATTTGCCGTTCAACTCCATTTTGATGATGCGATCAAAAGGAAAGTCTTGCCTCAAAATTTCTGCACAGCCCAACACAAAATACACAACTGTCAAATATTGGACTATGAAAGCAGGGAACCCCCAGGTACGAGGCACCTACTTCTCTGATCATAAATTTTCGTTTTTTTTTTTTTTTTCCTCAAACTAACTATAGTCTTCCGCCGCACGTCCCTAATCATTATGGTGGGTTTAAATTCTAAATTTGACTGAAATTTGAAGCAAATAAAATAGAATAAGAGAAAAGGAAACTGCAAAATATAGATATATCAACAAATTGATTAATCATCCAAGAAACTCTGAAGGAAGCCCTAGAAAATCAGCTCTCCAGATCTTAAAATAGTAGAATGGTATATACCACGAAATATAATGAAAAAAGTAAAAGGTGCGTGCAGCTGGAAGGACCTTACAGAGTGCCAGATTGGCATTATCCTAACTCCGGAGACCACCACAAGTCCTTAATTAAACATATTACGAAGAGCGTGGTGATTTCAGACCAGATCTATGAAACCCATGTGCAGATTAGGGAAAAAACAAATATTTAGTACTGGAGAAACGCTTTTTTTCTTTTTGGAATAATGTAGGAAGACTAATACAAAAGACATATGAATGTTTCGATGCAGATCTTAAAAGGGAAATAGAACATGAGGTGCTAAAAAAAGCCAGAAAAGGAACAGAAAATAACTCACTTGATCTGAGAGGCCACACGACAACACCAGAGTAATGGAAAAAAAACAAACGAAGGCGCGCTGTCTCCCTCTCAATCAACTCCCGCACTCCCTCCTGTTTTAAGGAAGCAGAAAAATGAAAAAGACAGAAAATGGAATAGAACGAGCGAAAGGGGGGACGGGGCAAGCTTTTTTATAGAGAGAGGAGAGTTCGCAGTCCGTGATGATGGGGTCGATGTTATTAGTAGTTGGAGTGGGAAGGGATTTACTCAATTTTTATAAAAAAAAAATCAACATTATCCATAATATGACTTGTATGTAGTCCCAAACAAATGAAATTCCACTTCTCACAGCTGGAAAATAAAAGGTATATTTGGGAAACTAGGGCTGTAAGAAATAGAGGTATTAGATCCAATTGTTTCACGCTTTAGAAATAGACAATAATATCCTTTAAAAAATGACTAATAATGCTCCTTGAAAACAACTGAAAAGTTGTCCGAGAAAAAAACTTCGGAAACATTTTTTTTTCTTTTTCTTTTTTTTTTTTTTTTTTTGTCATAACTAAGTTATTTCCAGCATGTGCTTTCAATAACCAATTTTGGATTTTTGTTTTGTGTGTGTCAAGATGTTATATTTAAGGCCTATAGTTTTAAATATTTTAGACTTGAAGTTTAGAAATATCTCTGAATAAAATATTACGAGTTAAATGAATTGATTGTTAACAACTTGTTCACAAAGACAAGAAAGGCAGCAACAATGGACATAAAGGGGCCAGCGGCAGAAAAAGGCTGAATAAGAAATATTATCGTATTGAGAATGAATTTGGAGTGGCTTCTGGTATAGATAGAGTTTCCTCTCACCCAAAAAGAATCCCACACCCAGAAAAAGGGAAACCCTTCACACTATGTTAAATCCATTTACTACTCAGCAATCTTGGGGCTCTGTAAACAAAATCCTGGGCTGCCATTTTGAACTTCCTCAGCAACTCTAACAGTTTGATTGCCCTCTCCCCCGATTTCCGCTGCCGGATTGCTCTCCTTTATGCCTTCATTTAATCCACTTGTTCTGCCTTCATTGCCAGAAACATTGCCAACCAGGTTCTTGTAAATAGTAAGGGCTTGAGACATCATGTTACCTGGATTGGCAGCTGAACTAGGAAGCAACATTGTGGTACCCTGAAGTGGAAATTCAAGATAGGGATCAAGACCCTAATATGAATGCTGATAGTCAAATAATCATAACAAGCTCAGACGACGTCACCTCTTTGGCAATATTGCAGAAGGCTTGTATATATTGCTCAGCGATTCTCAAAATAGCAGCCTGTGAATAACCCAGAGATACTTCAGTTATGCATGCTATAAGCAATCACTTAACAATTTGATCTTCACAATGAACAGCCACTGCATGCGATATAGACATTACAAACAAACAAAAAAAAAAACGTCTTGAATAATACATTATTTATTTCCTCTAAAAGGTCGAGGTTCAATTCCCTCCCCCTTGTTTATTTAAGGTAAAAAAAAGTTATGAGAATTACACAATGAAAAGAAGACAACAACCAGAAGAAAAAAAAAACTCGGTTATCAACTGAATGTTTGCATAACATAAAAAGAATTGGAAAAGTTAAATATTTGAAAGGGAATAAATATTTAACCACGATATATCACAATAAGACATTAAAATTTAATGTTGCTAATAATCTTAAGCAAATAACCAAACTAAGTTGCAGAAAACTGAAGGAATGGGGAAGGAACTACTATAAATAATTAGAGCACCATTGTACTTGATGTTCCAAATATGAAAATTTACCTCTGTGACCTTTAAATAGTCTTTCCCACAATTCTTTCATTTCTACCTCTCTTTAGAGGTCATAGGCTTAAACCCCACCCCATGTTTGTGGTTTATTACTCTACAAAAAATTAAGATGGTTTAACAGTATAATACTGGAGGGTATCATTACAGATTTCGATAGTTCAACAATACCAGAGAAACAGGGCTGTCTCCTACACTAATTACATGCTAATCAAAAATGGGAGAATTAGGGTATGACACGTGTCTATTCTTAATATATATGTAAATAATAAGTTCAGTGATTTAAATTAATAAAAATAAGGACGATAATTTTAAAATCAGAGCTCAAAGGTTTGATTTTAATAAGAATTGATATTGGGGGGAAAAATAAATGTAGCTTTCACTTTTCTAGCCCCCAAGGGGTGGCCTTATTGGTTTTTGAGGGTTGGTTAGGTTTATATCTAGGTCCTAGCCCTAAGTTCAATCTTCAAGATGGAAATCTTAATAAAAGAAAACTCTAAGTGTTCCAAGTTCTGACTAATTTTCCCATGGTTTAGTGGGGTTCAACCCAACGCCATGGTAATAGAAAAAATATATATAAGATCTTAACTACCAGGAAGCCAAAATGCATCATCGCCTCCTAAAGTATCAATATTCAAATTAATTGTGATTGTCCATTGGAGTTCAAAAGATGATCTCATTTGATCATGTTGGTTCTTTTTTGGCACAAACTGAGAATCCAAAGCATCAACGTATTAAAAGCTAAAACATGAGGATAAGAACCTCACCTCAACGCCCCCACTGTCTTTGAGAGCCTGTGACACAAGAGCGAGTCCTTTAAGTAAAGTAGGAAGTTTTCCCACACCCCGACCCCCATTCCCACCATGAAGAAAGAAAGGAGAAAAAAAAATTGTTAAAAAATAATATGCTTTTCAAGTTTGCTAGTTATCTTTCTCTAACATTTTTTTGCAAAAGTTAATATTTTGGTGACTGAGGTGAGATGGGGATGAAACTGCATCCTGATAGAAACTTAAAGCATCATCATGGATTTCAACCAAGAAGGTCGAGATAATCGTGAAAGATTCTCATGCAACTGAGAAAGAAAATGGGATCCTATTGAAAGAAGCTTTAGAGATATCAGCATTTTAAACTAGATTAAAAGCACCAAGCAAGAACCAAAATAGAAATTTTAGAACAAGATAAAGAATGTTTCAACTTGGTATTGAGGTAACAAAATAAACAAATGAAAAAAGGGGGAAAATTCATTTCAGCATTGAGATTAAAGAGAACAGTTGCTATCCTCATAATGTGATCATCTCAAGCCTTGAAAAGCCTCTGAGATTTCTTTTCAATAGTTTGATTGGGATTTTATAAGCCCCTTTTATCTGTGGTCGTTCACTCGCAACCCCCAATCCAACAAAACAGACCGCATCTCAGTTCTACAAATCAAACATTGTAGTAGCTCTTGTTTCTCATTCATCAAACCCTCCTAACCCCACAACCCCTGTATGTTATATTTCTTCCTTTCTTGAGTCTACACCTTCTCAGATCTCATCTTTGTCCTTTCATTGTAGTCAACAAAATTCAATCTTCCATTAAAGAAAATTTTCAACTCCCACTACAACATTCCATTAATAAGTGAGAAAAGCATATTCAAGAATGGACATGGAGTTGGAGATTTACTTCAACGTTTTGGATGAAGCACAAAAAAAAATTGGCTATGATCATCTTTACACCAAGAAAGCTTTCAAACATACTTAGATGAGATAGGCAAAGAAAGGTGAAGAAGAGGAAAGTATAGAAGTATCTATGTAATTTCACAGGAAAAAAGCTTGATATTCTCGGGTAGTGAGGGGTGGGTCGAAACCATCTACCCCTTCTTTAAACCCACTTTTGTTAGAATCCTGTGAAATGATATTTACTTAACTGAGTATGAGCCTGAGCAATTAGTTCCATCACACTAAATCACTCAAGGAAAGCAGATGTGCATTTTCATAGCAGTAATTGAAATAGTAATGCAGACTGACCTTGCGCCCTGTTAACTTGATCTATTTTTGCAGCTTCAGATTCTAATATAACTGCATTCTTCTTACCATCAGCAATATTGATATTGGCTTGCCTTTCTCCTGTTAAAAATTGAAGGGCATCAATCTTCATGAATGAATATCAGAACCTAAGAGAGTACCAAAAGAAAGAGACTAATTCAATTCCTCGAGAATTTAGGTTTTCACCCCCTCCATACACACCCAAATAACCCCAGCATATGAAATAGCTAAATCATTTTACTTCTCTCTGTAACCATCCATCCATTCCACAGAAACTCATGGATATTTGACACCTTAGGTCGGTAGCCATCATAATTTAAAACTATGGCCTCAAAAACATTCAACATGCTCAGTTGAACAACTGAACCTATTGATGAGATTTTGATCAACTGAATCTATTTGACCTCTGGAAAATTAGGTTATTTTATCAACCTCAAATCGAGATGATTTTAATTGTTTGCTTACCTTCAGACTCAAGAACTTGAGCTCTCTTTTTGCGTTCTGCTTCAGCTTGCATCTCCATTGCTGCCCTTACCCCTCGAGGGGGAGAAATATCCCCTGGAAGCAAGAAAAAAAAAAAATCATAAAGTCGCTATCAAAATTTCACTTAAGACATGATACAACTATATAGAGCTATGAGTAATATAGAACGAACTTATTTCATATCGAAGGCATTGCAGTCCCCAGTCCCTTGTGGCTACATTGATAGACTCCTACAGAAATGACCAATTAAAAGATTACTAATCAGTTAAATCGTTCATTTATTTTCGTTCAAGCAATCAGGGTAAAATGCAGTACAAAACTCTAAGAAGAAGAAGAGAAAAAATGTTTTCCCAAATGCAAATTTTGCTCCACAACAAGCAAACACAACCAGAATTCTCAAAATCTAAAGACATGATGAAAAGGATGTAATAAATAAATAAATAAATAAAAGTACCACTATCTTCTCATTCAGCGTGTCTCTTTCCTCAAATGTTTTGTCAAGAGTAATCTTCCCAAGCTCGCTTCGCATTGTAGTCTGAGCGAGCTGAATAACGGCATATATGGGATGCTCCACACCATAAGATGCCAGCTTGGGGTCCACTATCTGCACAGAAACGGAGACTTTGTCGTTTCATTCGTAAATTGTAGCAGAAAGAAAAGTAGAGC